TCTCTCTCTCTCTCTCTCTCTCTCTCTCTCTCTCGTCCCCACTCTTCTGCAGTTTGTCCCTGGGAGAATCCCAAACACCCACCAGAAAGCCAATAAATCCCAATCGTCAGCACTACTCAAACGGTGAGCGAACCCCGTCCCTTCTGGGAAGCAAACTGACACGGGGTGGATTTGGATCAACTTCCTGGGAGAGGCTCTAGAGCTTTCAAAGATGCTAAGTCAGGAGACAGCTGGCTGTTTTCCTAGCACCTCTACAGGCTGAGGACCTCATCTTCCTCAGATGTCCCAACCCAGGGACATTAGCCCATTGCAGAGATGGAGGAGGCCTTGGAACAGGGAGGTAACCCCCAACTATTGCAAACTTCATTTTTCTCATAAGGTGGCTTTCAGTCCTTTGAATAGATCTCTACTTCTTGTTTTCCTTTCTTATTTAATTTCTTCGCGTTTGTTTGGGTAGTTTAAGCAACAGGAAGAGGAGAGGGCAAAGATAACCCCTTACCTTTCAACAGAGTGAAATAGCAGCTTGGAATTACAGCCAGGTAACTATCAAAAATGAAACTGTGTTTGTGAAAATCTGCAACCCTAGCTATGTAATTGGATATGTTCATGAAAAAGGATATTGCACAGGTGAAAGTGAGTTTGCAATTGCTTCCATGTTTTTAATAATTTTTTGAAATTGTTGAGAGGACTTTTCCTCAGTACAACAGCTGAATGTTTCAACTTGGAAAGTTCAGGATAACCTTAGTCATTGGAGGACTACAGTTATCATAAATTGCCTTAAAGTGTATATTAAACTGTCTGAAATGTTTTTCTTTAAAAAAAATATTCTCTGAAGTTGTACACTTCCTGCCCTTCCCAAACAGACTTTCTTGAAACTTGAAAATGGTTCCCATGAACTTTCTCTTGGAAAAAATTCACATTTAACATGATTTTTCTGGGACTCTTAAAAATTAAAAAGGAAGAGCTGGACCCCAACCTTCATAACCACCCACTTTTCTGCCAGATTCTTTGAACTGGCAGGCATTTCTCTGTGTGCCTAGTCCTTACTCATAGATGTAGCTGTTTGCATTCAAGCAAATTTGCATTCTTGAGGAACGCTGCTCTACAACAAACCCTAAAATGGTGAGTTGAGTCATCTTATGCCTATCTGGGTGGTCAGAATTTTGGGTGTGGAATCCCACCTGAGAAAAGATGTTCAAAACTCCCGACCAGATTCAAGGAGGCTGAAGACATAGTTCGAAAGAGTCCCTTGTTCTTGCAGGAAGCACTGGCATCCTGAAATAGAGGAGGTGTGAAGATTAGAATTGTCCAAAGTATCCACATCCCTTCATTTTTATTACCAGTTGTCATCCTTTTTCTGTTTCTCGTTTCCTCTCTGAGTAGCTGAGGGCTTACCAAAGAACTGTTTGCTCTGGTTTCAACAACTTGAACTGATACTATCTAATCCAAATTCTTATTCTTTGGTCTTGCTCTTCAGCAATGAGATTTTTGAATTAAAGAGTTTTTCTATTCCTCAATAATTTTTACTATTTTCTCATTTAACTTTATCCCTGTACTAGCTCTCTTTGCTTCTAGTTCTCCCTATTTCTCCCTATTTTTTTCTCTGGACCACTTAAAATCTCTATGAAGGTGATTTAAATTTCTGATCAAATTTTCAAAGCAGCTTCTAAAGTAACTGATCACCTACTGGAGTATTGTTTAACCAGGAAGCCCCTGGTCCTCCAGGAGGGTGAAGGAGTTACATTCAGCCAGTTTAGGGCAAAAACATTGGAAATCTTTTCTCAAATGAATTTTTTAAATTAGAAATACCTGGTTAATTACTGTAATAGAAATAAAAACTGCAATCCTCCAATGGGCATTCAGGCCAGGATGCTTTTCCATTAGACACACAATAAAACATAGAAACCATAAAAAAGTTTGTGTCTAACTCCAAATGATTAGTTCCCATGACTAACAATCTGACTGCCTCCTTTGTAGGGAAACCTTACAGGAAATGGAAGAGTTGGAGGGACACAATGGTCACTGATATGAAATAATTCTCTAGTTGAAACGTGTGAAGGGGACTTCAGCAACACAAATCAGTGTTTCTACATCCGAAGCCAGACTCAAGGAGAGAATTTGAAATGGGAGGGGAAAAAATGATGGTTAGCAGGAAATGAAATGCTTGCCCAGAGAATTCTAAGCAAGTCAATCACTAGTCCAAGCGGGAGTTGTTTTTTTTTTTTTTTCCTCTCTCTCTTTTTTAAAAATATTCACTTCCGATTTGTTTCACTCAATTCAGAAAATTTCCCCAAGGGGTTTAAAAAAAAAAACACACTTGTAAAATGTCTCATTAACAGCAAAGATGAATTGGAGCCAAATTTCTGAATGCTATAGAGCTTTAATGGAGAGTGTGGAAGTTCAGGTCTAGGAATGAAAAAACACCACCAGTTTACATTCCATTTTCCATCTGTGTGGTAGATTTTAAACTGAGTATTTTGTAAAGCTTCTTCAGTTGGCTGGAGGACAACTTCGGCCCTGAATATTTATTTTTGTTTTTTAAAAATGAAGGGATATTTGCCATTTTTTTCCAAAATGTTAACATTTTAAATCATTTCTTACTTTGGAGCTGACTTGGCTTTTGTTTTGAAATACACATTAGCGGGCCTCTACAAGTTATATTTTGTTACAAAGAAAAACAGGAAGGTACTGGCTCTCTGAATCAAATGGGTTATTGGTTTCATTCTTCAGATAGCCTTAGCTGGTACTTATAAAATGAAGGTTTTCTCTTGAACAAAGATAGAATTTTACTGATACAAACTATGTTAGTCTGATCAGCGACATAAAATGGGTGGGGATGAGGGTGGGATAGGGCAGCAGGGAGATCTCAGCTAATCACAAAGCATGGCACAGCGATTACGTGTTTATGGGAAGCCTGTTTGTCTAGTGGCTGATGAAATTCAAAACGGTCCCCTCAGCCCATGTCTGAAGCCAGCAGTTGAACACTAGAGCCAGCAGCTCACTTAATCCAGGTACCCTGTCCCCCACCTACCCAGTGAACACCCCCTCCCCCAAACCTCCCAAACCAAGACTTTTCTAACTGACCAGAAGTTGCTAGGAGGGGCTAGGTTCCAGGATCAGTAGGTTTTTTGTGGGGAGAAAAAAAGAGAAGAAAAAAGAAAAAAACCCACCACAGTTCAACCTCTTGTTTGTTTTTGCCTCAGCATTTCCCTATCAGCAGGAGACCATTACCCAGGACAATGTTCTATTCCATTGTCATTATCTCCTACGGAACTAAAACAATGCTCTGTTTGGCCTACCAGGCAGAGGGATTTGTTCTGCTCCTGCTTAAGCAGAGCCTCCGACTGAGTTTCTGACCCAGTCACTTGATATCCAACAGGGATACCTGGTGACAATTTTCTTAAAAATCTGCTATCTTGTGTTTTGTAATTTCATTCTCTGAGAAATAGCCCGGAAACTGGATTCTCAATCAAGAGGAATCACACCATGGCAAAGGAAGAAGGTCTGCTTAAGCTGCATGAGTTCTATAATTTAAATCAGCCAGATAGGATTTACTTATAGTTGTCTCATTTTTGTTTTGTTTTGTGCTATTGAATAGCAAACCCTAAAGGGTTGGGTGATATTATGTTGCTGGATACCAGACCCCAAAGGTTAGAAATCACAGGATCTCAGATATTTTCCATTAGACCATGTTTCTTTTCTCTCTTTTTAAATACATTAGTAAATTAGACAGATAGAAAGATAGATGGATGATAGACGGACAGACAGATAAATGACATCAAAATGTCTAACATTCATGACGAATGTTGATGAGCAACAACTCTTTGAGGTACCGCAACCCTTGCAGAGAGCTTCATAAAACCAAAACAATCCCACAGCCCATTTACCATCAATACCCTTCCTTACAAGCTCCTATAGAGGCCTCCAGCCCTTAGTGCCTTTCACCTGGAAAATGTTCCCTAGCTCAGTACAGTAGTAAGAGTGGCAGAGATCCTTGTTTATCCTGGAGCTAAGGAGTCAATAAGACACTTCAGATGTTGTGCCCTTGAACTTGAGGTGAACTAATTGTCAGCATTGCTCCAGTTGTTGCTATCACTTCATTGCTCTTGTTTAGCTATGAGTAACATGAGAAGTCCAAATGTAACAGCTGCATATAATAAAAGTGTCATTGGCCAAAACAGGCTACCTGAGGAGATGGAGCTACAGGCTAAGGAGCCCAAGGTCTTATGCTTATTGGCTTCGCTGTGGGATGATAAGGTCAAACCTACTGAGGATGTCAATCCTATGGTCCACCCCAGTCATTCTTGCTGGAATGTAGCTCTGTGGTTGCTGTGATCACACATTCCACTCTTGGACCCCAGAGACTCACAGCCACATCTTGTTTAGTTGGTCTGCTTGGATTATACATTTATGGATACATTCTGAAAGTCATAGTGGTCTTCACAGTCACGATGATTCATGACAGGAGCTCTGATGTCTTTTTAAGTCTTACTTTTAGAAGCAGGAATAAACTGGAATGTTCAAGTGTTCCATGTAAGTCTAAGAGGTTGAGATTTTTGAGGACACCATGTTTAATTTTTCCTTAAGGATATCAGACATGTGTCATAAGAGATTCCTTGTATTGGGGAGACCTTCTTTTCACTTCTTTTCCTCTCCAGTTTGTGGTGAGACGGTTTTGTTTTGTTTTTAAGGTTATGGCTACCTGGTACCAAAAATAAGTAAATAAGTAAGTAAGTAAATAAATAAATGGCTATGGCTATCTTTATCCCGTTTGCCCTAGTTACACAGTGTTAAACTTACTCCTTCTGAAGTACTGTACAGCACCTGAAGAGTCATGCTTTTTATGGCACTCTATTGGGTGTTTTGTGGCATGATCCCATTATTCATCAGTAGATATGTGTTAGTTACACTTTCAGACCAATCTAGGATTATGTCAGCAAACAGACTGGGTAACTCTGGTCTAACCCCTGTGTTTTATTCCACTATCCTGAAAACATCTTTGTTTTACCTTTTGAAACATCAGAGGCTAGACCATTGTGTCCAGTGTGGTCCACTATGGGTTCAGATCCGCACAGCCTTCTTTTCACGGTTACTTGGCTAGACATGATTTATCCTAAACTTCTTTTCAGATCCAATTCTTGCATCCTCTTTGCTGTTGTTGTTGTTATTTGTGGCTGCAGAGACCTCCTCGTCAACATGAGTTGCTTTCCCCCAGTCACTATTTGTTGATCTATGGCCTGAGACCTGTAACCTCACCATACCAGTCATGTGTTTAGGGAGCAGATCCCTGCTCCCAAGAACTCAGGGTCTAGTTATGGGTAGAATTTCACATGTAAAGATAACTAGTGATTAGAAAGCAGGGCACAAAATGTTATGGAATAGGATTGATATGCGCAGTGCAATGGCATATCCTTGTATAGTGTGAAAGCCTAGAACTAGTCCTCCATGATCAGTGCCCCATTCCAGGACATCAGGGAAAATCAGATGAGATTTTTCACTAGAAGTTTTTTTCCCAACTACAAATCAACTACACAAAAAAGGAAGAAGTATTACAAATCATGAAACACAGGAAAACAACAGAATTGTCATTAAAATTGAAAAGGGCACTAGAAATAATAAACACGACTCAGAAGCATGACAGTATAGAGCTACTGGGGTGGGAGGAAGGGAGCTGCAAGAGGAACAGGGGCACAGAGCATCTCCAGTTGTGTTCTGTGCTCTGTGGCTTAGGCTCAAAGGCATTTATACAAATGTTCCCTGTCTCATTTTATACAATTCAACATATTATATACATTCAATATTACTGTGTATACATATATATGTATACAGCTAGATAAATGGGCATGGCTCGGATACTGAGTCTTAACAGTTTTGTTTTAGATAAGAAAACTGAAGTCTACTGTGTATGTGCTGGTACATGCCAGTACTCCCAGCTATTTAGGAGGCTAAGGCAAAAGGAGGTTGAGGAAGAAGGATCACAAGTTTAAGGCTGGCGTAAGCAGTTTAGAGAGGCTCTGTCTTAAAATAAAAAGCAAAGGGATGGTGATAGGGATTTAGGTCAGTGTGGATGACTTGAGTTTAATTCCCAGTACTGAAAACAAAACAAGCAGATACTTCTGAGGAAAATTATTACCTAAAATCAAAGCACTGTCTCTATAGCTAAACTAGCTCTATATCTTTCTTGTTTCCATGCCCCCTCATTTGTATTTCCACTACCCTCTGTAAATCTTGTGGCCATCCTGATTCCTCTCTTTCCATCATATGGCAGATCCTGCTGCATCTACCTTCTTACTCCACTTCCCCTAATGTTGCAGCTACACATATGCATTTCTGCTAATCCCTGATGGAAGGGCAAGCAAAGAGCTGGTGAGGGCTGTAGGTCCAGGTTTCCTGGTTGGGTCCTTACCTGACAGAGCACTGTATTTACTCACATAGAAAACTTAAGATACTATGCATCTCCGATGTATGCTTTATGAGGCACTCTAAGAATATGAAATGCTCTCTGTCCACGCAGAGGAAGGTGGAGATACACTTTCTACAGCTATTGCTCCTACTCCTCTCAGTGCCATCAGCATTTCCTCTGAATCTCCACAGATCACCATGGTGTAAAGGATCATCGCCAACTTGCCTGACCCTCCTTGCTAGATAGAAATTTCTTGATGATAAGAGTTGAGACCAAGTCATCCTCGTGTCCAGTGGAGAGCCTGGGGTCCTGATGGTGCACAGTGTGCACTCTGTTGTCTGAGTGTGGAGTGAATATCCAAAATAAACCAATACTATTGTCTCCATTCCCACTTTGTACCCTTCCTCAAATCCTGTGGATGGAAGGTGTCTGCGACTCTCATTCACCCATCCTTGAATGTCCAGGTTGAGTCCATATCATCAAAGAAGATGCACTCCACCCTCCTACTTACAGCCTGGGCCATAAAGTCCAGCCCTCCAGGATGACATGACCCACTGACATTTTTGTGGAAGACTGGAAGTATCGTGGTCTTATGGCTTGTGTCTGGATGTCCCCCCAAAGCCTCATGGGGTCATAGGTGTGACTTGTCCGAGGTGGCTGGATCTAGGTTGTCTCATGCTGGGATCAGGGATGTGCTGGTGGGATTGATTCCTGGTGCGATGCTAGGATTAAGGGTTTAAGTGTTACCCACTCGAAGGATGGGTAGCCTGGATAGGATATAAGGGACAGAAGAGGGTCACTGCTTGTTCATTCACTCACTTGTCACTTGTCTCTTGCTGCTTGCTGCCTTCTGCCTGGCCTGCTTTGCATAGACTATTTCTCCACTGTGATGCCCCGCTGCATGCCATCTTGCCTTGGAACCAGCCAACCATGAATTCAAACCTCTACAAACCCAGCCAAATAAACCTTTCCTTCTTAACTTGGGGTATTGGGTATTTTATCTCAACAACGAGAAAAGTAACCAAGACACTTGGCCCACCATGTCTTGGGGTATCCTCCTACAACCCCAGAGGCCCTATGCTTCCTGAGAGAGAGTACCAGCACATCAGCCAGTAGGAAGATGCTCAGTAAATATTTGCTGGGTGAATGAAAGAAAGACTTTCTTCCCGAAATCCCTGTTTGCAAGTCATACTCCTGAGTCATCCTTTATGCTACTAGTGGATGTTCTTTAAAACATAAATCGGGGCTGGGGATTTAGCACAGTTGTGCCACACCTGCGTCAAAAGCGCAAGGTCCTGAGTTCAATCCCTGTACCAGGGGGTGGGGAAAAGCCCAACTCAAGCCAGGCACTGTGCCCATGCCTATAATCCCAGGACTGCTGAGGCAGAAGGGTCACTGCAAGTCTGCAGGCAGCCTGAGCCACAGAGTGAGACCTCCTCTGAAAAATAAATAAATACGTAAATAATTAGAACAAGAAAAGCATGGGACAGATTATAAACCCTCAAGTGGCTGCCTGCTTCTCTTTGAATAAATACACAACTCTCTCCTGCAGCCAACAGAGCCCTCGGTCCCCTGGTGCCTTATGTCCTTCTCAAATTCCTCTTCTGCTCTCTGACTCAGCCCTATCAGCCTTCCTCTGTTTCTCTAATCTCACACCTCAGGGCCTTTGCATTTGGCTGTCTTCTTCCTGGAAAGAGCTTGCCACGGTTCTATACCTGCTTGGCCAAAACAGCCCCAGCTGTATATTGTGCTGGTATTTGCTCACAGCGCTGAAGACTGTGTGAGACTGTCGACTGGCTGATGCACATGCACGCAGCCTGGTCTGCGGCTGTCCTCTCCCACCTCTCCCAGTCTGAGCCCGCACTGACCTTCACTGCCGTGTCTGTAGCCACTTCACAGCGGTATCCAGTAATTAGCAGATGTTCAGTAAGTCAATAAATTTTTAAAAATAGTCATATCGCACTGTTATGGATTGAACTATACCCACCCATTCATATGTTGAAACCCAAACCCCCATGTGATTGTGTTTGGAAATAGACGTAGTGTCTGGGAGATAATGACAATTAAATGAGATCATAAGGTAGAACCCTCATCCAAACTGGGGGAGATACCTGCCCCTCTCCCACCCCCCTCATATGAGCGTACAGCCAGAAGAAAGCCCTCATGCAGCTAGCATGGCCGGACTGGAATCTCCATCCCTTGAGGACTTCTTGTCTCCATCCCGTGAGGCTGTTTGCTTAAGCTCCAAACCTGTGGTGTCTCACTGGGCCAACCCTAACAGGCTAAGGCACACACCACCACTGGTCAGCCGGCTGGCCTTCGACAAGTTGCTCAACTTTCGTGTACCTTAGTTTCCTCACTTGTAATATGGAGCTAACAAAAGTCCTTGCCTCATAGAGATGTGGTCAGTGACTAAGTTGACGTGTATAAGACCCTTAATGTTAACTATTTGTATTACTCTTAGTGGAGCAAGCTCATTCAAATTTAGGGAATCACAGCAATAATATAAGATTTTGGAATTCCGAGTAGGTTGTCTGGAAATTAAATGTCACCCAGGAAGAACATGGCTTGGAGAGCTCCTCACTCAGCAGGCAGAGGCCAGGGGCAGAGGAAGAGAGCTTCTGTGAGCACAGGCTGAAAGCTGCATCCAAAAGCGGTAAGAATGATGGGGTGTGTGTTCAAAGCGAGGGGGGACGTTTCAAAGAAGACTGATTGCAATGTGTCTTTTCCTATAATATATTCTAAAAATTTAAATGCACACCATGTACATTCCCAGCCCTTTGTAATTTTTTTGTTTCAGGCCAGGGTCTCACTAAATCAGTAAGGTGCCAAGACTGGGCTCGTATTTGTGATCCTTCTGCCCCAGCCTCCTGGAATGCTAGGATTACAGGCAGACACCATCACGCATTACCTTGTATTCATCAGCTTTTTGTTAACAGAACAAAATACCTGAGGCAGCTAACTTTATGAAGAAAGGACGTTAACTTAGCTCAGTTTTGGAAGAAGGGAAGGTTAAATGGAGTAACAGAGCTCTGACAAGTGGCAGAGTGTACACAGGTGGAAGGACCAAATCTGGAACAAGAAACCACCGATAAGGCCAGAGGGCAGGCCTACTCCTTTATAAGGACCTTCTCATGAGAGCTGCCTCATGAGGGCAGCACCCTCTGCAGTATCTGAGGTCCTCCTGCCAGGCCCTACACCTTTCTGTTTCTGTTTTTGTTTGTTTGGTTTGAGACATCGTTTCTATATGTAGTCCAGGCTAGCCTGGACTTCACGATCCTCCTGCTACAGCCTCCCAGGTATTAGAATTATAAGCAGATGCCATGGCATTTGCCAGGCCTCACCTCTTAAAATCCCATGGCTTCCCAATACCACCATCCTAAGGACTAAGTACATGGATACTGGCGAACACTGAAAGCACATCCAGACCGTTGCAGCTTCTCTTGTTCTTCCCCAGTCATGTACATCATGAGGCAGTGTTTCTTCATTTTACAGCCAATGGGCTGTGCAGTCCCAGGTCTCTGTCTGTCTCTCCTTTTCTGCTGTGCATGGATTTGCTCCCCCAACACCCTCTGGCACCAGGGATCAAACTCAGGACCTAGCACTTGCCAGGAAGTGCCACTGAGCTACATCCCTTCCCTGTGGATTTTCTTTTTAGAAGAGGCTTTCATTTGAATATTGGGCTTGTGTCTGAAGAGTTGATCTGTGTAGGTGGTTTTGTATTTTGAGCCCCCCTTTCCAGCACAGAGACCAAAGCAGGCTTGGGATCTGACTGTCTAGGTCAATTGTTGCCTTGATCTTTCTTCTTCTCTTCTGCACCCGGGGAGCTCTCCTTTGTCTTCAGGGCCCATCCCTGAGTTCTTTCACTGCCTCCTATCCGGACAGGATGGACACCCATGCACAATGCATGCTGCAGACTCTCAGGAACACAAACACTATGGCGGAACAGAAGCACAGGCCAGTCTCCTGACAGCCTTGTCACTCTTGTCACTCTGGGATCCTGCAGCCTCCGTTTCCTCATCTGTAAGACGGCTGAAGTAGTGGTAAATCAGCATGAAGGTTCTCACCAACTCAGCATCTGTCAGGTGGAGGCGGACGTGGATGTTGGCATCATGTCTCCTAAGCACTGGGCATTTGTTCTTTTATGTTCTCTGGCCCCACAGAGACTGGGTCTTTTTCCCAGGGAAGACGAGCTCAGGGCCCTCAGTGGGCTTTGGGGTCCTTCCCTTCATGCAGTGCTTCCCTGGTGTGACTTGAGGTCTCACATGCTCCATCGATGGCACAAACCCAAATGGGCAGTTTTGTGAGAGTTCTCAGGAACAGCAGTGACAGGCCAAGACTTAGCTCCACAGGGAAGGGGCAGTTCCAGCTGCAGCTTCTCGTGACGCCCAGCTTGACAGATAGACTTGGAATGACCCTTCCTCACAGCCTTGCCCTAGGTTCACATGCCACCAGGCCTGCATTAGTCTGTTTTCATTTGTTTTTGAAAAGTATCAGAGTCTGGGGACTTTATAAAGAAGAGTGGTTTGTTTAGCTCTCAGCTCTGAGGCTCAAGAGCAGGGCACTGACATCTGCACAAAGGCAGAGGACATGGTGGAGCAGGCAAGGAGGCAATCACACAGTGAGACAGGAAGCTAGAGGGTGGGGAAGAGGCCAGCCTTGCTCTCTCATAACAACTCCCCTCTGAAGGAACTAACTCTACTCAGGGACCTGATTCTCTCCCAGCATCTCCCATGAGGCTCCACCTCTTAAAGGAACTATGGCCTTTTTTTTTTTTTTTTTCCAGTAGTAGGGACTGAACTCAACCCAGGGGTGTGCTACCACTGAGCTACTCCCTTTGCCTTTTTTATCTCTTACTTGGGGATACAGTTTTGCTAACGTGCTCCGGCTGGACTCGAACTTGTGATCCTCAGCGAGCTGCGTGGCTAGAGCGCATATATGCAACATCGTGCGTTGGCTTCCACTAGTTCTGAATACCACCACACACTGGACCGAGCTTCCCACCACACACTGGACCGAGCTTCCGGTACATGAGCCTTGTAGGGAAGGGAGGCACCTCCGTCTCCTCTCATCTCCATGTGAATGAGCCTGGTGCAACCAGGTCTTTTACTGTATTTTTCAACAGAAACTGGGAATCTCAAGTTTTCAGGTAAAATCTCCTTGCTCTTGAAATATTGGAAATTAAGTACAAAAATTAATGCGGGCTAAACAAAATCTCAAATCATGGACTGGGTTGGGCTCAGGATTTCTGTCTCTGCCTTACACTAACCCACATTGCCGTGTTAGTGGATGTTCACTGTTGCTCTCTGTGACCTATTTATGTCTTCCCTGAGCCTTGGCGCCTCAGCATAGCACTAATGTCAGCCCTCACATTTGGCTGAAGGGAGGACGTTTTTGTCCACAGGACATGGAAAGTCACCTATCCCACCTTCAGGCACGAACACCAGCAGCAGTCATACCTCTGGGGCAGCCTGATGACTGAACGCACCATCAAGCAAGGACGGTAGATTCTGCAGAGGAGCAGCTCGTCAGACTCACCACGTGCGATCATAGGAAACGAGAATGCGAGAGCTCAGTGTCAGCCTAGCCAGTGTCATCCTGCAAGAAAGCGAAGGCCACGTGGAGCAGGGGTTTGCCTGAAGTCACTCAGCTTTTGTGACCCAGTCACAGCCTCGGAGAAGCCTCCCAATCACTGCCTCTATTTTCTCAGCCCTTTCCCAAGAGCTTCGTTTCCAGCTGTAACATAATTGCCTTTGCTTCAATTCCAAGCACCTTCTCCTGAGAAGTGGCGTTCTTCTGAGCCCCTGGGATGTCCTGTGCTCTGCCATTTGTGGCTGAGATTAAAATCAGGAGGAGCACAGCACAGAAACTCCAGAATTCTTACATGGCAAACTTTTCTGTGCATTTTCAACTGATTGTTTCTGGCTTTTTTTTTTTTTTTACCAGAAAGTAGCAGCTCTTCCCTTTTACTTCTAGGAAAACTTGGCGAAATATAAAATCTGGTGAAACAATATGTCCAGATTAAGAATGCAATAGGATGGGCCGGGGATTTAGCTCAGTGGTTCTGCTGCCTGCCTTGCAAGCGCAAGGACCCGAGTTCGAACTCTGGAACCCCCCAAAAAAACACAACAAAAAGAATGCAATGGGCGAAGGTACCCCAGAGTCACGAAACTATGACTACTTTTAAACACTGTATATTGGGCAACAGCAACCAAATATGCGAGTGGGCCTGACTGTTGTGCTTTTTACCAGATATTTGACCTCTGATTTTTGCAGGGTGCAGGGAAGGCATTTGCTCCCCGCAACTCTTTAGGAGGCCCCTTGGAGAAACTGTGAAGAGGGTTTGGTTGGCTCCTTCCTTCTTCCTGCTTCCATCTGTCCAGGCCTCAGACAAGCCCTGCCCAGAAATAAACTGTAAGGACAAGGGGTCACAGCCAGCCGTGGACATCCTGGCTTGCTGCAGAGAAGACTTCCATGAATCTTCAACAACGTATGTTGTGGCAGTGGTATAATATTGCCACCAACAGCCTCCGAGGACATCAAACGCCTCCACTGGGCCTGCCTATTTTAATCCCTCACAGAGGCTGTTTATGGCTCTGTGTGCTCCTCTTCACAAACTTTACACCTTAATTTTGTTAGCTGCTTCAGAGAATTCAAACAGATTAAAGAGGCTCAATTTTCCCTTCAAGAAGTCATGCTGTTTGAATTAGTTAATGTTTGCAAAGTGCTTTGGAAGAGGGAAAGTACTGTCGGAGTGCTAAGTAGTAGGGTCAGGGGTTACCCAACATGCTGCACAAACATTCCTACTTCATTGGGTGGACTGCTTCATCCCACACAGAGTGTTTCTGCCTCCTTCGAGTCACTCGCAGGGTTCCAGGGCCACTCACAGCCATCTGTGGACTGTGACCACAGCTCTCCACTTGTCTTCCAGCTGAGAGTCTTGACAAACTCTTAGGACAATTGTGTCTGGTGGACAGCTCAAGATCCTCCCACTTTCTTTTCCTCCCCATGCGAACATTAGTGAGTTTCCATTGTGCACCAGGCATGCTTCCTCTTGGTTCTCTCTCCTGGCCTGGGTTCATGGTGCTGCTAAAAGACCTTGGGTGTGTCCTTTCACCTCTCTGATTTCCTTCCTCCCTTTACCTGTGTTGCAAGGGAACTCACACGCCATCACTGCGGATGAAAGTTCGCACCTGCTCTGATCTGTATTCCTAGGTCACCTATCTCCGCTTGCCCAGTGCAGAGAATGAAAGAAATCAGTGCTTCATTCACTGCTTCCGCACACCACGGCAGTGGCTCCTCCCTTACTACAGAGAAACAAGCTATGACACAGATATATTTTCTCTACACTTATTTTATATTATATTCATTAAAAATGTTTTTGAGACAAGGTCTATCTATGAAGTTCAGACTGGCCTTGAACTCACTACGTAGCCCGGGCTGGCCTTAAACTCACAGCAACCCTCCTGCCTCAGCTTCTCAAGGGCTGGCATGACAGGCATGTGCCACCCATGTGCCCAGTGTTCTCAAATATTTTATGCCCTTTCCTGCGCTCTCAAAGTGTCACACTGTATCCTACTGTATGCATGCCCTCAAGAATACTTTATGTCATCATACCTGTGTCCAAATATAATGACCCTAGAAAGCAAAGCTTCTGAACTTACTTCATTCTTTATCTCTGCCCAAGAGTTGCTGGTGGGTATTCTCACTACTGTCAGTGTTCCTGCTCCAAATAGCATTTTTCTTCCCATTTGCTGCCTCTAATCTGCAGCTGGGAAATGGAAGAACTAGATTTTTTTTTTCAAGTTGTGGGGGGCACAAACAGTATTTAAGTGAGGGACTGAGAAGTGCTGTATGAGCTCAGGACCCAAGCTGCAATATACAAATTGTGGTATGTGGACCTTCACCTCTCAGTGGCCTCATCTTGTCCCTTCCCAGTTGTAGCTCTCTCTCTCTCTCTCTCTCTCTCTCTTTTTTTTTTGTACCAGGGATTGAACTTGGGACCTTGCACTTGTGAAGCAGGTGGCAGAAGCACTGAGCCCAAGATGTGGTTCTCTCCTGGATGAAATGAGGTATATAGAATAAATGACTTCTGAATCTTATAAATAAAATCATGTCATGGTTTGGATACAGACAGTTCTTAGAGACTTGCATGAAGTAGGTGTCACTAACTGCATGTTGAATAAATGGCTCTAGCAACTTTTCAAGCAGCAAGCGATTTTAGAAAATGAAAGTTTTTTTGTTTGTTTGTTTTTGGGTTTTTTTTTGGTACAGGGGATCGAACTCAGGACCTATGCTTGCGAGGCAGATGTGGTGCCACTAAGCTAAATCCCTGGCCCCTAGAAAATGAAAGGTTTAAAGATGCTTTGAAACACAAATGTACTTCTGTTAGAAAGATACAAATTTATAAGGCAGTTTACTAGAAAACCTCAAAGTTCTTTGTGACCCCCCAAAAATGTATAAAATCACTCTTTCCTCTCCTTCTCCCAGAATTCTCCTATAGAATTTCAAAAAGCCAAAGAGCCACCTGTTGTCATTTTCCATGTGCTATCATAAATGTTAATAAATCTCCAATTTCCTAAAGGTGAGAGTAGAACATATTCATTTACATCATTTTTTTCTAAAAAGAAATATTCAGAGTTCTGTACCACTGCAATTTGAGATGCCCCTTTCAATTTTCAAGATGAGGAAGATCTTGGTAAAGACCATGTTCATTCTGCTTTTAGCTCTAAGAGTTGTATTCTCTTTAAATTTAAAATTGACATTTTAGGTATTTTATTCATCCAACTTATGCTGAGTAATATCTGAAATTTGGAACAGAACTGAAATAAATTTATAAACTAGTCTTCAGAATTCAGTTATTCTATGGGAGGCATTAGAGAGCTCATTGGTCATGATTATGGATTTTGGTTTTAGATGGTCTTGACTTTAAGTTCAGGTTGTGCTACTTCCTAGCTGAGAGACCATGAACAAGTTGTTTAGCCTTTCTAAGCCTCAGTTTCTCACCCATAATATGGGTATTTCAATTACTTGTTGCTGCATAACAAACCTATTTATAGCTTAGAAGTTTAAAACAACAACCATATTTTTTTCTGGAGATAACTGCTATTTCGTATTTGGACAGGGCTCAGCATGGATGGTTCATCCCTACCTTGTCTGGTGTTGTCAGATCCCTTCAAGGCTGCATTCATTTAGGGATGAAACTCACATGACTAAGCTGGCTTTAATTATTAACTGGAGCACTTCAATTTTCTTTTTGTAGCTAGGCTGCCTTTCTTCTGCAGAGCAGCAGAGCTCTATGAGAACAGGGGCAGAAGCTATCAAACCTCTGCAGGTTCTCACCTCAGAACAAACACAAGGTCATTTCCACCTCACTTTTATGTATCAAAACATGTCACAGAGATAGACAAATTTAGGAAAGGGAAAACAGGCTGTCGCCCTTCATGGGTGAAATGAAAAATAATTTTACAGTCATTTTTAACCCAGCACAATAGGTATACCCAATTGTTCTCTTCTCAAAGTATTGTTAAAAGAGTTACATGAGATAATGGCAGTCAATAAGTCTTTAATAAATACTAGTTGCTTATGACTGTTACACAGTATCTTATCATTCAGAAGCCATTCATCTTTCAATCCAATACCTGGACCAGTTATCTTGGCTGTATCTTGGTGTCTTTGGTTCTCTCTACACAAGACTGGCCCCACAGGAGATGCCCAAATAAAGATGGCAGTAGCAAATATTTATGACAGTCTCCATTATGTGCTAGGCACTGTTCCAAGCACCTTACTCATGTTACACAGTGACCTCATACATCCTAGGGCTCACTTTATTTTGCAGCTAGACAACTGATGCATGGAAAAGAAAAGTGATGTGTCTAAAAGGAAAGTCACATGCCTAGTAAGTAACAGAGTTGGAATATGTATATAGGAATCAAGCAGATGTGATAGTTCTGATTTCAGAACCCATGTTTATTAGTTTATTGAATAAGTGAACATATAGAACTAGTGATTTACATCACTCTAAGGCTCCTCCCTGTCAAATTAGATAATGCTTCATGTGTAAAATATACAAATAATTGAAGAACTTAGTTTTTTGTTTTGTTTTGTTTTGGTTACCAGGGATTGAACTCAGGACCTTGCACTTGCGAGGCAGATGGTGGCAAGTATTATCCCTGGGTCCAAGAATTTAGTTTCTTGGTGCAAAATGCAAAATTGAGAAAAGAAGTCCAATGGGATTTCTTGTTTTAAAGATAGAATAATTCCGAATTTAGCCCTCTGCCCACTGACTAATACTCTACTCTTAGCTGAAAAGAGGAAGAAACCTGTAGATGCGTGGTTACACTGTCCAGTTTGGATGTCCCACACTGGTCCTTATTTCAATTACTTCTTAATGTGGATTAAGACAAGTAATTTGAGATCCACTCCATCGGTGCTGGCAATGTGGAATTTGAATTTGAATTTGAAAATCTGCATGAATGCCAGGTATTCTTGTTTTTAAAGAATTACTACTATCAGGTACCCTGATTCATATGAGGGATACTTAATTTCTGGTTGTATCATCTCTTCTGAATCAGTTCTTTTTAACATGATGTCTCACACAGTAAGTTAGGCTGTCCCAAACCACTCATTCTGAAAGGATCTTGGATTTCCTGCCAGAATGTTTCACCTCCTACTTCTTTCTGAAATTAAAAGGGAAGATGGAAAGGAAAACATTCTGTACTCTCTTGAATCCTGTTTTCTGGTGCCATGATCGGAAGCAAGAGCACCCTAAGGCTCACAGCATGATGTGTTCATTTATATGTCATCGTTTCACCCAATCCTAGAGAATGCATTCATCCTTTTTGGGCTATGGGAGGTCCGGGTGGAGGTGGGAGTGTAGCTTTGAGTCAGCAGACCAGGATTATAGCACAGAGGCCTCCACTAACTAGTTGTCTCATTCTTAACAAGTCTCTTTGTCTTTCCAGGTTCATTTTCCCCATCTGTCAAGTCAAATGAAGGTTATGGAATAGATGATCTCTAAAAATCCTTCCAGCTCTACAGTTCTATTCTGGGTCTGTCTGCACCTGCAAACAGTGATGTGAGGGCAGTCAGGGCACTGGGAGGGAGGCAGATCTCGGCAAGAGAATAAAACACTTTCACCTGGAGCGGCCCTGCACCCTCATGTGCATTGCACGGTACAGGCTTGTCTCAGGTTTTCCAAATAATTGACTGAGCCCCCTCCTTTCTTTGTCAGTGGACAAACAGCCTTCGTTCCTCTGGAAGCAGCAGCTGCGTTTCTGAAATTTCCATCCCAGGGCTTCCATCCTCCACTGGGTCCTCTCAGAAACCTGTCATGGTTTTTCTGGATGGATGCCCACAGAATTGTAATCTAGTGTGGGGGGGGCAGCGTGAGAGAGAATATTATGCATAACAAAAAGCCAAACCAGGTCAGGGGCTGTTTCTTATTTAGTCTGGTTAATTCAAGGTGGAACCCAGGGAGGTACCCTTGAACAGACAGCACTGTCTGTGATACCAATGTATAGCTGTGACTTTCTTTAGTTAAAAGGGTTGTCCTTGGAGAGGTAGAGGGAAGACTATATGCTTTAGGGCCCTTCCTGAGTCCTGTTCATGCCTCAGTATCTTCAGACTCTTGGTAAAGGTCTGTTTTTCAAACCAGATGTTTTCCCAGAGGGCCTTATTTTCCTCCCTTCTCTAATAAGAATTTGCATTTTCAGTGGTGTGTGTGTGTGTGTGTGTGTGTGTGTGTATGTGTGTGGTGTCCCCAGCTTCAGCAAACTTAGCCTTGTCTCAGAAATTTAAAAGGTGTAACTCTCCAACTATGACCCTTGGGAAAACCTCATGGAAATCCAGCTAGAAATTTAAATTCCTGGAAGCTGCTCTGAACCACTGATCCAACAAGTTTCCTGCGACGACCAGGAAACGGAATGTTACCTCAGATCAGCTTGAGGTAGAAGGGTGATAGACCTCTAAAAATGTACAAAGCTAGAATGGGACAAATTTTGTATCTGCCATTTCTGTTTCACGGTGTTTGGACAAAGTACATGGAAATGGCAGCCAATGATCAGGGCCGCCCCCCATTAACATAAAGTGTCTTTGAGACACACCAAGATCACCCAGAGATTTGGAAAACTTAAAGCAAGGATGGTTTTGGAACTGAAAAAGGACCCAGCCCAGAGAAGTGAGTAAAAAAGAAAACTTGGGAGTCAGACGGAACTGAGCACAGATTCTGCACTGAGCCACTCTGGGACTGGACCAGTTGCTGATCTCTGAGTTTCCACTCAGGAATATTGCTACCTCCCAGACGAGGGTACTAAGAAAATAAAATGTGTTTATGCATCTAATAGGAGTGCTCAATAGAGTTCCCACTTATAACAAACTGTGTCACTCTTTTCCCTCATGAGGAGCAGAGGGGTCAGGGACCTCCAAGCCGGGACTTGGCTGCAGTTCGGCCGCTGCCCACTGGTCTCTCTAAAGTCAGAAGGATGCTCCCAATCTGCCCAGGCTCTCATTGAACTAAAAGAAATAGTGGGCTGGGCCTTTTTCCTTCCCCCCCCCTCCAGGCCTTTGTCCTGGCGCCACAGGTGTCGCGTGGGTTTCAAAGGCTGTGGAGACCTTGGAGGAAACACGAGGCCCAACGGCCTGTGAGCTTGGAACTGGGAGCCACCTCGAGGTGGCCCTGTTTGGCCAAGGCTGCAGTGAGAGACTCTAGCGGCCCTGGGGGATCCTAAAGAAGCTAGGGGGGTCCCACCTCGTCCCTCGCACCCGGTCTGCTGCAGTTCTCGGGTGCCACTCCCTCGGCCTGGTCGAGATCCAGGGCTCCAGCCCACCAGGTGCTCCAGAGAAGCGGGACCCTCGTCGCGAGCACCTGAATTCCAGGGACCCTCAGTGCAGAGGCGGTGATGGGAGCCGAGACCCCGCGCAGCACTTCCAGACCGCCGGAGAGCGAAGCCCTTGGGATCTCGAGGCGCCAGTCCCCACGCCTAGGCGTTGCGGGAAGTAAGCGGGAAGTTGGCTGGATTGTGTCTAAATCCTGCTCCACGTCTTCAGTGCCGGGCTGTCGCGAGGACCCTAGCGGCTCTCCCCGGCAGCCCGCGACCCGGCTGGGCACCGCGGGATCAAAGGCGAGGGGCTCCGCGTGCAGCGCTAGAGGACCGAGGGGCCCTGGGCCGGCGGGGGACCTGAGAAACCAGCCACCCAGCGGCGAACGGCTCGTGCTAACACCCCTCTCCGCACTGAGATAAAGTAAAAGCCCTCGGTCGGTCCGCAGGGCCTCAGACGCCCTCCGGAGCGG